TGACTGTTGAGCCTGCATTGACAGATACCAGCTGTGAATGATTGCCTATACATTCGGTACTTTCAGAAAACAATGTGTCTTCCATCTTGAAAAGTGAGCCCTGAATCACTATGTTGTGCCTTAGAACACATTTCATAGTTTCAAGTTTTAAGTCAATTTATCTATCATATTATATGATTTTGACATTAGCTGAGAAGCTTTTTATTCCTTTATATGATATAATAATATATAAGTTATGATTTAGTGATTCAAGTCCCACTTTTCAAGATGGCAGATGCATTGTCCAGGGAAGAAAGGAGACTGTTCTGCTTGTTTCTGTTTCAAGCACATTCTGATAAATTTACTGATGATGATGAATAGTTTGTTTGATATTGTATGTCATGTTATTGGTCACAGGGCTGGTCGTTGTTCCCCCGGTGTATGTTTTCATATGTTCAGTCATGTACGYTATGAAAGCTTCCAGGAATATCAAGTACCTGAAATGCTACGCACTCCCCTACAGGTCAGAAGCTGTATTTCAATCTGTCTGTCTGTCTGTCCTTCTAGCTGTCAATAAGAATTGACTGCAATGCTTGCTCCATTTGTATCTTTAGGAACTTTGTYTACATACCAAGCTACTGTCAGGTCCAAACACTTCTATAGCTGAATTCCTGGCCAAAGCACCAGAACCACCAGCCTATTTGATACTGCGCAATGCTGTCACTTTTCTAAAGGTATTGAGATTTTCTTTTATTTTCCCATTTTTTTATTTCATTCTTACTTTTCATCTTTCATTTCCCATTTTTCACTTCTCATTTTATTATTTCACGCTTAGTTCACTTTTTTATTTCGTTCATTTCTCATTTGCTTCAATTCCCATTTTTCTTGCTCATTTTTTCATTTTTTGTTTCRTTTCTGTTTTAGACTATAGACGCTCTTGACAACTGGGAAGATTTGACTGACTTAGGTAATAATTATGCAGAATTATGATTCCATTCTTGTCATCATCATCACCACTCATTGTCATCAAAAACATCACTATGATCACATTAATGGCTAAGCACCTCTGGGTGTGATAAAAGTCATTATTGACCATCATATCATCACAGATCAAACAAATATTGATCAAGTTAATATTGAGCTATTTTTTTGACAACAGGTCATCATCTAGCAGATTTACCAGTGGAACCTCGGCTTGGTAAAATGATTCTATACTCAGTGATACTGAARTGCATTGATCCTGTTATTACTATCGCTTGTGCATTGGCATATAGAGATCCTTGTAAGTATATTTATAATTAATCGAAGATTCCATAATCAGTAGTCTCCTCGCAGCCGTATTTGGTTTCGGTCACGCGTCACGCGTCATGCAACGGAGAGGTTGCGTGACGCGTGACCGAACTAAACACGGCTGCGACTAATAGTCATAGTCATAATCATAAGATTTAACATTCATAATCATACTCGGAATCATGATCACAATGAATTATAATCATGACGCACAATATCATAATCACAGTCATGAAAAAAGATTATAATCATGACGCACAATATCATAATCACAGTCATAAAAAAAGTCGTAATCATAAACATAAGGTTTCCTCGATCATAATGATAATCACAATGATAGTAGCAGTGTAGTCTATCTGTAAAGTTCACCTGTCCGCATTTCTTGCAGTCATTCTTCCAATGTATGCCGGAGAGAAGCGTTTAGCAGCTTTAGCCAAGAAGAGGTTTATAATTGACTCCTTTAGCGACCATCTTCTGTTTGTAAAAGCTTTCAGGGTATGTACGAACCCATTTCTTTCGACCCCTGTTATCAGGTAACATTGATCGCGCTAATGATATTTTTTTTACTAAAAACGGTGATCATGAAAGGAAAGTTGGTGTTGGGCACGTTATATCGATTTAAGATTAAGTTTTTTTTGCCTGAACATAAAGGAACATTTGCAACCGGCATCCTTTACGAACTATACTTATGCTATAAAAATTCTCGAAATGGCCCTTTTAGTGTTGGTAATGACATTTTGTGCACTAACCATGGTTATGTGTTCGCGTGAACATATCTTAATCACTACTCGTACTTTCTCAACACAATCTTTCTTTCACTAGGGCTGGCAGCGAGCTAAAGCTGAAGGTTACGATAAAAGTTATTGTCAGAGAAACTACTTGTCACCAGCWACACTAGAAATGATGTCAGGAATGAGGTGTGTTTATACACAGTAAAATATATCGAAAYAAATCGTAAAAACAGTCCTATTCGTACATTACGATTTTATAGCACCACAAAACGTTTGTGCGTTATTTATGTTTAGAATTGTATTATTTGAGAGATTTTACTTGAGTGTTATGGATTTTAGGTCTCAAATGATTGGTCATCTCAAGTCTTGTGGTTTTATAAGACCGCGTGGAGCTGGTGATATGAGAGACCTGAACACCAATTCYAACAACTGGGCTGTTGTCAAGGTACGTTTCRTCCGACAGCACTTTCTTCCGTCCASCAAGGATTTCTTTGATCGTGYGCACTAATTCATTCAATCATGCCATTTTTAATGTAACTATACTTTTGTGAGCTTGTCCATCCATCCATACTATCCATTCATAATTCATTTATTTATAAGAGATATTCATTCATYCATTCATTTGTACATCCATTCGTCCATCTATTCATCGATTTGTCCTTCCATCCATTCGCTSTGCCATCCATTATTCCTTTATTCATTCATTTATTCATCCGTTCATAATTTAGTTACTCATTCATCATATGATATAMACTCAAATTTATATCTATAAGTATAGGATATYGCACGACCTTGAGTACAATTTGAAAWTAATATTCGACGAGTAAATGTTTTGAAATTTCTTCGTAATTGCATGAGCCCGCACATGCACATGTGAAAAATATAACTTTTTCGCACTAGAGATTTCCTGGTATTTCAATCAAAGTTTAGTACATTGAATTATCCCCTTCACCGCTCCTTTAAGAAGACATACCTTTATAAAAAATATCTGCCTTCTTTCATTTCCTTGTTTTCATTTCTATTACCTTCACTATCCATTTATCCCTCTATTAATGTCTTTATTTATCTACATTGTAGKCTGCCCTGTGTGCTGGGATGTATCCTAATATAGTACGGATTGATCGAGAGAATCATAAATTAACTACACCGTAAGTGCTGTATTAAATGTCGTTAATCTTAGACTTCTAAGGTTCCCTCATGTAAACCCATATAGTAGGTACTGTGGAGACTTTCCTGGTTTCGCAAATACTTAGCCCTAATACATATGGTCACTTTTTCTTATCTACATGAATTTCCAGGAAAGAGTCYAAGGTTAGGCTGCACACATCTTCAATCATATACCAGCAGCCAGAAAAACAAGAGAGCATGGTTAATGCGCAGGTGAAAGCAGTCAAGAAGATCCCTTCTGATTGGTTGATCTACGAGGAAATGACAAGGTAGATGACTTTTTTTCTTGTTAGAGRTTTACTTCCATAAAATTTATAAGCACAGCAGATTAACATATGACAATGTCGGACCAAACGTGTTTGAATAGATAATATACAAGATGCGCAGGTCGTTTCAGGAATATCGCTGGCGCGCATATTTTTTGGGCAGCATTTATAAGCGCGATATTTTTAACGTATATTTTATGCAATTGTACATAAATTATAATTATCTAATTCACCTCCACAGAATGTACACCTCAGTTTCCATCAAGTGCTGTACAGCGGTCTCGCCAATAACCATCAGCTTGTTCACTGGACCAAGTCTATCCTCGCCAAATCTGGAGTCTGGTTCCAAGTCACGTGATCAGGACAGACGGAACAGTGAGGGGCGTGTCAATAGTGAAAGTAGTGATAGTGAAAATGAAGAGAGTAAACCCGGTGAGTCACGTGACAACCATGTCGAAATGAAGGTCGATGATTGGATATCGCTGTCGGGAAATGACGAGGTAAGAGAAAAGTGAGTTAAAGTTGGCTGCGATACGTTGAGAAAGCTATATATTTATTGGCTTTGTTTTCTTAGACTATTCATTTAACTACTTATCTGAGACACAAGCTTCAAGCGTTGTTTATCAGACGGATACGATCTCCTTCTCGTCCATGGTCACAAGTAGACGAAGTGTGTAATTTTTAGTGCTTGCTTATTTTTTGTTTTTAAATTTATTTTTTATTTCGTTCATTGCTTTGTCGATGGGTAGCTTGTTTTCACGCTTGTTTGCTTCTTAAAGAACTTGTCTATTCGTCGTTGTTTGCTATCGCTCTTCGTCAGTCACTTCTCTTTCATTGGCCTTCTTCTTCCTTCTCTATGAAAAGACATGTCTTTTTTTCATTTTGTGTCTTCTTGTACACATGTTTTCCAGATAATCATTTCATTCGCCTCTCTCTTTTCTCTCTTCGGTTTGTTCTTCCCTCTCATGCTCTACACGAGACTTTCATTTATTAAATAGAAATTTGATGTTAATAGGCCATTGTTAGGGCAACTGTAGCAGTGCTATCAGCTGAAGAGGAAGTCATCAACCCGAACTTATACCCCAAACAGAGAAAACCTAGACAAGGTACGCGGCTATTTCTAAAACTAAACAGCTTAAAGATACAAAGACGCCATTTTGTGGGGAAAAAGCATGCTTTTGCTTGTAATTTTTGCAGTTTTTTATTAAGCAATCTGAAATAGCAAAGAAAACAGATTGTAGGGATTTTAAAACGGACATAAAATTCGCGAGGGCTACTTACGGTCACGCGTTGCTAGAGAAACTGACGTCAGTGCATTTAACCTATCGTTATCATTATTGCTAATCGTCAACATCACAATGAATTTGGCGAAGGTTTTTTTGGTAGTAACTTGTCCATACTAATCCGTCGGCGTTATTCTTGTAAATCGTGTACGTAATAATGTTTCTTTTTTCTCTAAAGATTACAGCAGCGAGTCAAGACCCCGAGATGACAGGTAATCCCTGAAGCTTACATAGATACCTCTCCACAGACATATCTGATTTACATAATTCTTTATCCGGCAGGCCGCGGGATCGTTTCTCTTCCCCGAGGGATCGTCTTCGGGATTCACCCGGTAAGTCGGTTTATGCAATAACCGGATATGACGAACAATAAAGAGAAAAATGACGTCATGTTGACTTTCCAGCCCCAAGTTGGAGAACGAGACAAACAAACTCACCAATCCCACAGGTAACTATGGCAACAATGCTTATAATGTRACGTCAACGGTGACGTATTTCCAAATCACTCACAAGGAAATAGCCATCTGTGAAAATCTAGAATTTTTATATTCTTGAACAAATAAGAATGGACTAAAATTTGTTGTGGCTTTTTTATGTAGGCATCTCAAAGGAGGACTATTGAATCGACGTCACAGCCTCGATCTCAGGCTCAGCTTTCTGATAGTGAAGGTAAACAAACTAGATTCAAACAAAAAGCCCGACGTTTGAATTATTGTCGTACATTCGCAAAGGCAGCCCATCTAGTCGGTTATTAGTATTGACTAGCCAGTCACCTAAATCAACTATTCAATCATTTTGGAATCTAATCCACTTTCCCTACTTTCAGCTCGTTACTTCATTATCAAGTGTAACAATCAACGAAACCTCAGCATATCGATGGCAAAGGTAATATATTTGTTGTCTAAGTACGCCCCCGTTTCCTCTCGACTTTTCTCCCTAGGATGGGGGGGGATGTACATAGACTTAAAAGTGCATAATCATCTCACACATTCAAAACTCGGCAATACATACAAAGTACAATAAACTTCTTTCTATGCTAGTGTTATGTTATTTTCAGGGTATCTGGGCCACGACGATTGCAAATGAGAAAAAACTGAACCGCGCATTTAGAGTAAGTGATTATTGGTAAATTCACAAATGAATGAATCCATGGAAGGATAAATGAAGTAATGAATATTAGGATCGATTGAATTAGCTTTCATTCATATATAGGAATGTAAAAAGATTGTGCTTATTTTCTCTGTGCAAGGAAGTGGTCATTTTCAAGGTAATCTTTTCATTCTAATACGTCCAGTGTTTAATGGATTCACACCGTTTTATATTTCTTTTTATAAAATTTTTGATATATAACGCGTGCTCTGATTAGCTGACGACCGTGTTTATATCAGAGGACAGAGACACGGCTTACCGGCAAAATTTTCTTTTCGCTCAAAAATTTTATAAATACGCTCGTGTTCCTAAGCTTGCTTCTCTCGTGTTTTTCGAACTCGCTACGCTCGTGTTCCTAAGCTTGCTTCTCTCGTGTTTTTCGAACTCCCACCGTGTTTATATCAGAGGACAGAGACACGCGCGCCGTTTTATATTTCTTAAACATTGGTTTTTCGGGAATGCTTGATTTTATAACTAGATAGGCTCGTCGTTATAGGCTACGCTTGTCCGTTAAATGACGGGCGCATGTGACGTCATGTTGAAAATAGCAGTAGACTGAAAACGAGTCTGTTTTGGAAATTCCCTAACTTCAGAGCTCAATTCCATACAAACTTCAAAGATCATCAATTTGACAAGTTCTTACACTTTTGCTTATGTGATTAGTATCATTTCAGTAATTTTTTTTTTTTTTTTTTTGGAGATTGTAAGTTAAACATTTAGCAAGCCCCCGTAATTCGTGGCGGAATTCTTATTTTGGATGATATATGTATGTGATAAATATTTTTTTTAAAAGAGTTAAAGTAGGGTTCTTTGTCCAGGTTTTGCGCACATGGCTTCTCCCATTGGAAAAGACAAGTCACCCGAGTTTGGTTCCAGTTCCCTAGGCGGAGTATTCAAGGTCGATTGGATAAAAAAGTGAGAGTTAGTTTTGATGAATGTTATTGATCTAACTTAACATATATTCGACTTTAGGACTTGTACTAACTCCGGTTAAGTGGRACTAAGTATGTCCATTGTTCATTATTGTCGCTTATTTTATTCCATTGTTCCAAGAGCGAATATTCCATTCCAAGAAGCGCATCATTTAGTGAATCCATGGAACGACCACAAGAAAGTTCAGATCAGTCGAGATGGCCAGGTAAAAATCACCAYCGATCCTTAAATTTATTACATCCGTAAAACAATTTACAAGAAACCTCCGAGGGTCAGTACTTCATGTAAGGTGCACATGAATTGGCACTTACTAATAGGGTTAGGTTTAGGTTATATCTAATTGGKTCGGGTCGGGTCTTACATGAAGTACTAACCCCACCGAGGCGGCCTTCATAGWTTAATTCATGTACCACCGTTGCAAAMATTGTGTAAATTTGTCGTTATTGTAAGACTTTTCAAAGAACCATACCAAACGCTGTTCATTTTAGGAACTAGAGCCCACCGTTGGCGCAGACCTGTGTAAATTATGGGATGCACCAGTTGCTACACCTTCGCAATACTCAAGACCMCCCTTAGGAAGCAATAGGCGTGGCCAACGTCAAATCGCCACCCAACAGGACCCAAACCAATGGCAACAGTCTCCATCACCGTCGCCCTTGACTACAAACCCCCASGTGTACCCCCCACATGYTGCCTCTTTGCCTATACCAGTCCCAGTCCCAGCACAACATTCCCACGGTACAGTAATGCACAGGTTTCCCCAWCAGGTCATGGCAGGARTTCAACAGCCTCCCATTGGGTACACCGCCCACCCAGTCCCCTCTATGCATACTACGAATTTGGGGGCAGTAAGGTATCCTGGGAATGTTGCRGGATTGCAGTTCCAACAACCGCCGACACCAACGGGGACAGCAATACTACGACCTAACTCTTATCCTTCGTAGAGGTTTATTGTGAGAGATATCCTGTTGGGATTTATAGTTATCATTTTAGTGAACATGGTTCTTGATATATTCGTTATGATGGTTATGGATTATCATTATTATCATCATCATTTTCATCATTGCCAATTACTTTTGTCATCATTTTAGACCGTTAACGGTATGACATCAAAGTCGATCCATATGGGGACGATAAAGAAGTCCCTCCAGACGGACTCGTTACTTCCATCATCATCATATTGTTTTATAGTAAATATGTTCTGCCGTAATATMATAATTCTAGCAAAATTCAAAATGGCGACCATATTGATCGGCATTGTCATCATTATCATTACCACTGTCATCACCGTCTGCTTGATAAAGTTCTCAATCATTTTTCCAGATAAAGTCCTCAAGATGTAATAATGATTATAGCGTATTAAAGAAATTCATGCAATATAATGAAATTCATTATTTTTTTCTGTGGACACAGAATTTTRCCATGCTCATGCAATTGAAATGGAATCCGGAATCCAGGAACGCTCTTAATCCGAATTCCTTGTCATTGTGCGAAATATAGTTGTGATTATTGTGCTATATTTTGTGAATTCCGTGCTTTCTTCATTTGAAATCATGTGACCTGAAAATGAACACATAAAAAGTATATTAATACTTAAAAGGCTGGAATCGGGATTTGCTCGTTTCTTTCAGTGAGCCCAATGTAATTCAGAATAACTACCTATAATAATACAAACAAACCAGGACATTCTGATCAACTTGCTTACAAAAAGTATGATCCGAGAACTTACTGCTTCACTTCCATCTTAAACGCAACTTGTGGAACTCTGGTCTCCGAGCGAGTAGCACCGTTTACCGCCAAGACACGGGTTAACTTCACACTGAAGGGAAAAAATATCATTTAACATGACAACTAACTTTTCTTGAATGTCCACTTGATTCTGATGCTGCACTTCTTGATTTCAATGCATTGTGGGATAATGTTTTAGAGAAAACAAAATAAATCCGCTATTTCTGTCACAAAAAAGCATATCCTACAATGCATTGCGGATAAGTTATGACGTAAAAGCTTCATAGATCTATTATTCTAACGACTATTCTAACGACAAATTCAAATGTTGTCGATTGTCCGTTGATCACATATTTTCTTACCTCACGGGTTTTAAAGTAACACCCATTCCTCTTCTCCACCTTGTATTCAGTCACACGATCTTTGTAGAACAGCTCACATTTCTTGGTCTGTGGATAATAGTTGAACATGTAGCATACATCAGGGACGTGCATGAAGCAGGCATCTTTGCAGTCGTTGTCGTTGTTGGTGTTGATGGACTTCAACAGAGGACCAACAATGGCATGGTTGTCTATGGTATCGCTGTACATGAGCTTATAAGATGTGCCCAACACGCATGGATCTAGATGAAATAATAGTTTATTTTGATAGGCATTTGAAGAAATTTTTTATATTTTCGAAAATTCAATTTTGTTCGTTGTGGTTTACAGACTTACGAAAACTGATGTTCATGATCAGCCATTTTCTTCCTTCCCTGTTTGTAGCCATGCAGGTGTAATATCCTTCCTCTTGTATCACAATTTGTACAGAAGATGTCTGGTTAGAAAGCACCTTCCCAGAGTACATCCAAGCTACGTAAGGAGTGGGAGAACCTTTCGCCGAACACGTAAGACTCTCGTTCTCGTACACTGTCAAAGCGCTATTGTTGAGGAAACTGGGCACTATTTCCAAGAATCCTTCAATGAAAATGCACATCAGCCTATACACCCTTTTAATAAGTCCCGATGTATCGAGTTCTCCGCACTTGACGTCAAATTTATTCTTTTGAAATTTTTACAATACAAAAGGAATTCAAAAGAATAAATTTGACGTCAAGTGCGGAGAACACAATACCCCGGGACTTATTAAAAGGGTGTATAAGACGTGCCGTGCACGGCTGATCAACATGAAATAGCAGCTATAGTATTTTGCAGGAAATTGGAGAATTTGAGAATGGGAGGTTACAATTTTTCAACAATCAGTTTCAGTTTCAGTTTGGCCAAAGAGAATTGAGAGACTGTGAAAAGAAAAATGCTAACTTGTTTTTTAAGTTATAGATAGTCAGAAATGAAAAGAACAAGCTACGAACTATTCGTCTTATAACTTTAGGGTCGACGAAAAATCACTTTATAATCTGTTGAAATAGGTTTCTTGAAAAGATTGGCGTAGGACTGGTTTGACAACTAGGTGACATTTATTTTTTTGTTTGTTTTGAAATTTGTGTGGCTTTTTCTTCAATTTATTCTTTTTATATCGATTTTATAGAATTAAATATGTATACCTACAAACCTATCCCTATATAGTAATGGTTGTGTCCTTCAGTGCATCACATTAAAATTGTGGTCTTACTTGGAATTCGAAGATCGCTCAACTGTTCGCTGTTCATTGCACCATCGATGATATACAGATCCATAGCTTCACCAAAAAACTGACGCGGTTGAAAGTCTTGCCTACTTGTTGCACCTATGTCGATAAATGCTGAATTAGGCTTCCACAAGGTTCCTTGTTCGAAGCTCTTGTTTGAAACCTCTTTTCCATCCTTTAACAGTTTAAGAACGGCCGTTTGTTTGTCCCAAGTAACAGCGTAGTGGAACCATGTGGGGTTTTGAGTCATAGAGAAAGGCGACTTGATAACGTGATCGACGTCTAAAAGACGTATGCTAAAATACAAGTATCCAGGCATCATCCCAAGCATCCAAGGCCAGTGTGGAGAGGTCCAATCGCTAACAATGGCTTGAGGACTAGTAGTATTGGTTTGGTAGTAAAACTTTACCCACAATGCGATTGTGAAGCTTATGGAACCAAGATCGACACTGGGGATTCTGGCATATGAAAGTGTGCTATTAAACTGAATGGCTTTGCGACCTGGTAAACGACCGTCGACAAATTTCGGTGGTCCATCATGAAGCCTGTTGTAGCGAGAAGAAGGAAGGAAACAATAGTTAAACATACTTGTACATACTTGCACATACATGTACTTGTCATGTAAAGCGATTCCAACCAGAGGACAAAACAGAGGACAAAACAATGGATTTTAGTTTCCAAGAGTGTAAAAGGCTTTTGTTTGCCCTCCTCCCCCCCCCCCCCCCCCCCCCCCCTCCCCAGAGTATGCTACTTTGACGTTACATGCAAGGTTGTAATGGGTGTTGGTCATGCTAATAATTAAACATGATATCACTCTAACAGTGACATAGGGTTTTGATTAAATCGTTAATGAAAGAAATGCGTATTTCTGTGAAATTGTAGTTTTAACGAGTCTCTTGAGGTAAGGGGCGCGCAGAAGAATAAAAAGTTAAACCTACGTTAATCCATTTTCATTTCCATTTAAACTCCAGTGTGCGAGGACATTGAAACCTGCGAATCAATGAATATACTGAATATCAATGCTCTGTAATTTTCATGAAACTTGGATCGAATCAACTTGGAGACAGTATTCAGGGCTCTATTATGCTTCCATGGAGTTCTTATTGATGCTGGATTGTTACTTATCAATATTATAAAATATTCTTATAGACAACATGCTTCTTCTAAAGCCTTTTTAACGGCAAGCTTACCGTCAATTGTGACTCCACGGCTACCCGCCAAGATGCTTGCCAAAACAAGCAGCTGTTAAGGAAAAAACAGAATACTAAATCAAGTATTTATTACTCTTGTGCAGTTAGTCTCCTCTAGCAGCCTACTGTCATTTAAGAAACCGGACCGCTTCATTCTCCTATCTATCAGTTTGATTAAAAAATAAGCAGCTGCATGTTGAGGAAAAACTAGAATAGCTAAATAAAGTACTTATTTCTCTTGTGCAATATTCATTTTTGACTAATACGTTTGCCTTAGCCATAAGAGATTTCCAAAGTAAATCAAAATATCACAAAGTAGAAAACTTTACGACAGACCGTTAATTTTCCAAAGTACATCAAAATATCACAAAGTAGAAAACTTTACGACAGACCGTTAATACTCCAATTTCGAGTTCTGGTTTGCTCTGTGTTAGCCTCAAAACCAAGTAACATATTCTTTTATTTCATTGATAGCTGAAAAAACGCATGGAATTTGTGAAGAAAGACAATAGAATTGATTTGAAAATTCGAAACTGGAGTATTTTAGAAACAGGATCTCTTCATTCTCCCATCTAACATCTTGATTCCATTTGGTAATTTTTCTTTCGTGAAAAAGTCGTTTCACCGACACTTAAATTTGTGGATTTTGAAAGAAAATCAATTAGAGGTATACATTTCAGGTATATTGCAGTTACACAGTAATGGGCTCCTGAGTTACATAATTATTGCTATCCCTATGATAATTCAGTTGTAAATTGATTAATTTAAAAGTGCAAATTTACTCTATTTTTTAGGAAAAACCACCATGGAAAAATAAAATATTTTTGGTGTCGTTAACGGAAATCGGTTAAAACATCGTTTTTTGTGTGTGAAAAGTTAAAGTTTTTGACAATTACGAAATTGCCGCGAACTATCATAGACGCCTGAGTCAAGCCAATGACGTCTACTAAGGAACCAAAACTCTCACATCGCTTCATATTTCAACTAAGAATTGTTGAAAGTTGGATTATAATACAAGGGCGTTTATAACAGGAATGAATACCTTCAAATCTCCACCATTTTCTTTGAAAGGCTCCGGATATGCGAGAGACGATTCCTTGGTAGACGTCATATTTGCACCAGGCCCCTGAATTCAAAGTGCGTGCATTTTTCCGAACAGGCGGGAAATTCAAAATAACGTTAAATATCGGGAATTCATTCAATTCAAAAAAAACGTTTTACGATAAATAACTATTTTAATAGGATAGCTTATTATAGAATTTGAAAACATTGAGTTCATTTTTAAAAACTTTAAATTACTATTTTAATATAGGATAGCTAATTATAGACATTTGAAAAATTGAGTTCATGTTTAATGAGTGAAATTAAAAATCATGCTGAGGAGCCTGCTGAGAGTGTTTTTCAATAAACTTCCAAAAGCTGTGATGCCATACACATTATTCCAAAATGGCTGACTAGCCCTTGATGTCTCGTTTTCATAAAATTATTCTTTTGTCTTAGTTGAGTGACTTTAAAAGAAAAAAACAATTTCATGAAAACGAGACATCAAGGGCTAGTCAGCCATTTTGGAATAAGGTGTATGTAGCGTAATGGGTGTTAAAAAATTTAGTTTGTCTCGTCTAGAAGTGTCTTTGAATTGAAATTTTGCGGTTTTTCCAACACAAATATATTTCCCGATTAGAGACGTTTTTTTAGAAAGTTGTACTTTCAGAAGTTGAGAGAAAGGCATGCGGACTCAAAAATATTCGGATAGAAATTGAAGTTTAAAATATTTTCAGTTGACGAGATAGTGACTTCTTTTTCGATCTTTGATCGTTACCTTGCCCATCCTATAAGCTACTAAATACAATTGAAAAATGGCGAGGAGGAGCCTTACTGTGATCTGTGTGATGTTTCCGTTTATTCTTTTCCACAGAGCAAATTTTGAAAAAAGTTGACCAAGGCTTGCAAAGCTCACTAGTCGATCACAGAACCAAAGGTTACAAGTTAAGTGTTTCAGGGACAAGAAATCATCGCGATGTCGTCATTAACCCCTTATTAAACAATGTCGTCCAATGGAAACAAAAAAGTTGCGTTTTGTTTCGCTAGATATAATATGGATGTGCATTTCGATGTTCCTCCAAGTAAACAAAAAAAAAACACATACAAATAAACGATAAAGAACCGAAACAAAAACGAAACAAAGCACACAATCGGTTACCAAAGATTTTTTGTGTCAAAATAAAATCGACTTCATACCTGCTGAAAGAAGTAGATCATCTTTAACTCAAGACTATTTTTCTGAAACTTTTTCGCTTGCCCGTTGAGATAATTTGAATTTGAAAGAAATTAATTTGTCGTTATACAAATTATCTCAGTAGTTGCCTTTTAGCCTTCCAATAAAAGAGCATTATTGTACTAATTTCTCTGCAGCTAATTTAATATGAATTGCGGGTGTTCTCAATTCCAAAGATTATAATTCATTCAATGAATTGCAGACTGCATGGTTTTTGCATACACTGTAGTGTAGTGTTCAAATCATTTAGCTCACGCCCCCCCCCCAACCCCCCCAACCCCCCTAATTAAAATTATAGCTGGATCCGCCCTTGATATTCGTACCAGTGGATCTCTGGGAGCAAGTTTTGAGCTCCTACTTACGACATGGAACTGATCTAAAAAGAAAAACCGCATTTTGATTACCAAATTTTGAAGATTGGTGGAAACCGCGATTCAAAAACAAACGAATTTCATAAATTTGAACATGCTAGAATTTACAAAATGTTTTGACATGCGGAATGCCTGCGGGTGATCGGACAAGTCGTCCTTCAGACCAAAAAAAACCCGACAAAATGTTCCAATGATCGCGGATGAACTTTGCATTTTTGAAAAATACTTCGTACATAAGTTTTCAATCTATATTCCTTCAATAGTTTTAGATATGAGTCCAAGTTTCAAAATAGTAACGGATGCAGTCATCCAGGAAGCCTTAAACGTTATATAATATGCAAATTCTAGTCATCACTTAGTGAAAGACTAAATCTTAAGAAGAGTCCGCATTATTGAATATCAGTGAGTATCGATTAGCAATATTCAGCGGTTTGGTGGGTGAACGTGTAGCAAATGATTTGCAAAGATTTTAGAATTTGTATGTCAAATATTCAGTACCAAATAGACTGCTCCCAGCCCCCCACTGAAAGACGCTATTGATTAAGTTACGTAATTCTATTCTCGTAATTCTATTCTTCTATTCTCTTCCCCTCGATTTGGGGTACGTATCTCGTGATCATGAGTTACACCCTTCTTTGCTCATTTCGTTGGTGTCCCCTGGTGTGGGAGCGTTAACTATTCTTAAGAGCGTTGCAATATTTGAAATTGGTATAAAATGGTTACCTAAACACAGTACTGGTAAGTCGCAACACTGTAAAGTAAACGTGAAAAGATGCCTTGACGAGAAAAAAATAAGAATTAAGTTTGTTATTCAGACCCTGTTGATACTGAAGTGACAGACCGTGAAGGAAGCGAAACGAATCTCTATCTTTTAGCGAGCACGGCCAATTGCCTTATACACTTTAAAAACATAGTCTATTACTGTGAAAGAGTTTTGGGAAGTCATTTTATCAAAACAGCAGTCCATACTTATACTTCAAAAATCTTCAGAATATTTTATGAGTCATCACGTTTAAAACAATATATAGGAAAATGTCAAAGATGCTAAGTTGTAGTTTTGACGCAGACGCGCATATACCATCATCTTTAATTGTGTAATAATACATATGAAAATCAAAATGCTCCCTTAAAATAATAAAAATACACATGGAGAACGCAGTTTGATCATTTGAGACTCACGCCACTCTATTGATTAAGTTACGTAATTCTATTAATAAAACCTAGCCTCGATTTGGGGTACGTATCTCGTGATCATGTGTTACACCCTTCTTTGCTCATTTCGTTGGTGTCCTGGTGTGGGAGCGTTAACTATTCTTAAGAGCGTTGCAACATTAGGAACTTGGTCTAAAATGGTTACCTAAACTACTGGTAAGTCGCGTCACTGTAAAATAAACGTGAAAAGATGTCTTGACGAGTAAAAAATAAGGATCCAGTTTGTTATTCAGACCCTGTTGATACTGAAGTTGCAGACCGTGAAGGAAGCGCAACAAATCTCTATATCTTTTAGCGAGCACGGCAAATAATTGCCTTATACAATTTAATGACATCTACTAGTAACATGGAAGAGTTTTTAGTAAGTCTTTTTATCAAAATAGCAATCCATACTTCAAAAATGTTCAGAATATGTTATGAGTCAGCATTTTTAAAACAATAGGAAAATTCCAAAGATGCTAACTTGCAGTTTTGACGCAGACCCGCATATATCATCATTTTGTATAACAATACCTATGGAAGTCACTATTCCAATGGCCCTTTCCCAAGATGATGTTGGTTCTGTAGAACTAAAGGAAGGCTTTGGTTAGGTCACAACATTTTCTTGTATTCACAGTGGATGAAGAAAATTGCTAATCAAGCAAAAAATCAAAGGGAAAAGCTGTGTTCGATTTTGTCATGCCTATTTCAGGAATTATCGTCTGAGGAGTCTTTTTATAAAAAACAAAAAAAAAACAAAAACAAAAGATAAATCGTTATATATGAAAACTGTGGATTCAGTGCCTATATAGCATTGGACAGAAATAGAATCTAACTGAAAATATATCACCTATTTTCACTAGTTTATATTCTGAATTCTGAAACAGAGGGTAGTATCGGTTTGGAAAACTCAAGATCAATGAATCTCTCAGCATCTTTTTGGCGCAAGGCAATTTAGCAAAATAGCAATCCATACTAAAAATATTTCAGAATAATTTATGAGTCAGAGTTTTCAAAACAATAGGAAAATTCCAAAGATGCTAACTTTGTTTTGAAGCAAAAGCTGCGTATATCTTCTTGAAATTTAAATAATGAAATCTTACAGACCTTGTCAGTGCAAATGTTTCTATGCCCTAAGTTTATTAGTATTTGTGTGACTTAAGACTCAGGCGCCTTTTAGTTCAAGATTTTTGTAATTTCCTAAAAAGTGTCTCTCTCACCGTTGTGCTAAGAGCTATACTTCGGATTTCAAAGGCTTAATTTCATCTTAAAATGTGTAATGGTGTATAAAATGTGTCTGAAATGTTCTCCATTTCTTAAAAATAATATTCCTCAAAAATGATATTAATCATTTTGACATTTCCTTAGGGTTTTACCATGGATCGAAAGAGAAGCTGATCAAGTTATAACAGTCAAGGGAAACTAAAAATAAAGACAAAATTATGGTTATATAGAATAACCTCTGAGAACAGGTAAATAAATATAACTAATGTTCAGTGCCGACAATGCGCTTCACGCATGAAATGTATCAGTCATGAGATAGTACTGTTGAATATTCAAATCAATAACCGATGATATGGGTCATTGACGTAGCTCTATTTGACGCATGTTTTGATACACACCTATTTCAAAAAACACGATATAGAAATGAAAGAAAGTTATAGTGCTTAGAAGGAGGCAATTCCGGGAGAAGTCCCTTAGGAATAAATTCGGAAAAATTAATTTCCGACCTCGCTGGGATTCGAACCCACGACCTTCGGATTTGTACACCGATGCTCTACCAGCTGAGCTACAAGGTGTACAAATCCGAAGGTCGTGGGTTCGAATCCCAGCGAGGTCGGAAATTAATTTTTCCGACTTTTATTCCTAAGGGACTTCTCCCGGAATTGCCTCCTTCTAAGCACTATAACTTTCTTTCATTTCTATATCGTGTTTATCATAGTGCCATGCGGTCTTCATATTCATATATTTCAAAAAACGTTGTCGTCACCACGACACAGTCCACAGTCTTGAGCCTGCAAAGAATCTCGGGGTTTCCATGCGTAATTAAAGCTGGGTGATTGATTTGCGACCAGGCCTGCATATGAATTCGCCAAGGTTGTAAGCCAGTGAGCCCGTGCATTTTTGTTAAGCGGTCATATTTGAAAGTGTAAATAAAGGAAAGGGAAAACCCGCAGCTCTCTATTCACTCAGATAAACAGTACAAGTCGTGTTAAATTTATTCACATAACTAAACAAAATGATTATAGAATTTAAACCTTTAAGAATTGAATGCTCATATVAAACATTTTCCACCTTAAATACACACGTGTTTTTCAGAAGGGAATTTAGTCGAACTTTTTTCACGATGGAATTTTGTTTTGAGTCGTTTCAACATAAACAGTCGCTATCAAGACATTACGTGAAAAACCCCAATCACCGTACTAGCTCTCGTTGTAAGGTCAAAGCTAGTAAATGTGTAACCGGCCTGTTACATAACGTCAACCTGTTGTATCGTCGAGCACGCTTGCGGCTTATTGCCGAAAATGCGACAAAGGATGAACTACGATTGTTGTCACTACCAAAAATAACAAACGCTTTAACTCTATTGGAATACGTGGAGCTAAGCTGCTCTAGCTCTTTCAGTGATGTTGTAGATACCCCAAAGCTTAGAGGAAACAATAGCTAAGAAAAAGGATTTGCAATGGTTCCTCCTAAGATACTTTGGACTTGAACTTCGCTTCAACGACCTTCTGAAGTCTTCGTGAAGTCGTCCATTGCTTCGCATGCAATGGAGAACCCGCATAGAACACAGACCAATTATTTTTATCAGGGAGGGGAGGCTCTTGGTATTAAAGAAAACATTATTTATTATTTAATTTTTAAGATAAAATTCTATTTCTATAACGATAAATATTTGATTGACATTTAATAAAAGCTATTTTATAAAGATTTTCAATTTCTCTTTGCGTTTTAGCCCCGGGGGGGGCACTCGACCCCGTTTTGGATAGGTACGTGCCGCCAGCGGTCTAAATCCCTGACCCTGTTTAAGACACTAAAAAGTAAAAATCCATACCCTGTTYAAGACAAATCGGAAAAATAAGGAATAGCTATCTACGCCGCAACCATCAAAACTGCAATTATACTGACATCCATCAAAGACAATAAGAAGTTTTTGATAGCACGTTAATTCTGGGACAGTAAAACGGTATTTCTACGGTGTTATGAAAATATTACCCTGTCCAAGACACACAAAAAAATTATATCGGTCTCTTTTATCTAAATTGTAGAGCCTGTTTAAGACAATTTCGGGTGAAATGTATACCCTGTTTAAGACAGCAAGGCCAAAAACCATACCCTGGCCAGCGGCACGTCCCCGTATAGCAAATATATGGGAGTACCCCCCCCGGGGTTTTAGCATTGATTTTTCGGATAGAATAAAATGTCAGGCAGCCTACTCCACTGGGTCGAGTTTTGCTGTGCAAATTCCTCCCGTCGGGGGGTTATGTTTACAACATAAGCTTGTCAGCTTTGCGCTGATTGGCTAGTCGCATTTTCTCAAATCACCCAGAATGTATTCAAAATATATTGTGGTTTGAATTCAATGCCGGAAAGCACTACTAATATAATATTGCGGGATGACACGATATTTGTGATTTTTATCTTCAAGATCGTGGGACTCTAAACACGGCCTAAACTATGGAGAGAAACGCTGAAGGACTAAAAGACAAGCCAGAAGAAGATAAAGACGACATTTAAGGTAGCACAAATACTCGATTATTACTAAAAAACAACAAAAACAGAAAATTTGACCAGATTTCACAACATCCTTCAAGCAAACAACGATTGACTGAATTACCTATTGCTATGTCAAATTCATGGTGCTCCAAGTTTGGGATAGAGTATAATTTTTTTGCCCATTTGTCTGGGATTGGGTAGTCTTTTCGTCTGGGATAGGGTAGTAGTTTTGCCTGGGATAGGGTAGTCTTTTTGTCTAGGAGAGGGTATAGTCTCATTGTCTGGGTTATGGTGGAGTTTTGCCTGTGATTGTATCTACTAGGCCACGCTTTCAGCGCTAAATAATATACCTTTGTACCTTTAGTCTGGGGTAGGGTTAGCATCCTTCGCAGGCAACTCTACTCCGTGGGATTCCTGTGTTAAGCCAAAAAAGCTGCCGCAGGGGGAGGGGGCTAGGAAGGAAGGAAAAGCAGGAGGTTGTTCCTAATCTCTCGACAGCAGTTCTTCTCGGTCAAGAATATGAATACAGGAAGACCAAGAAGAGAAAAATGTCCGTTTCAGATGGAGTAGCCTGCGAAGGAGGCTAGGGTAGGGTATGTAAAATCACAAAAATTGGTCTGGGATAGGGTAAGGGTTTTGAGGGTCGTGCGGCACACCCCCACCCAAGCTGGGGAGGGAGTACCCCCCCTAGAAGTAGGTCATTAGTCTAGTAGTTGCATGTAATTTGTAGACAGTCGCACAATCATTACTAAATGTAGCTCATGCATGTTTTTTTTTGCTTGAATTTTGATTTCACAAAATCGAGGACTTTCTTACTGTTTGAATCACCTCTTGTGACACTAATTGGGCAAATTTTAAATATAGAAGTTATAGAAAATATTAAGTTTGGTTTTTCGCTATTTTGGCTTGAACTATCTCTTAAAAACAGTCAGAGCAGATAAGTTTAACAGGGAACAACACACCAGGCATAACAAACAAGATAAATTAAACTGCCTTTGCTGAATTTAAAAATAATTATCAAAAATCTTGTGCATGTTTTCGGTGGCAGATCGAAATTGAAGAAACTAAGGAAAACACCCCAATTTACTTAAATAATTGAATCCATAATAAAATGGTTTTTGTTGTTTTTGTTGTTGTTGTTGTTTTCTTTTTTTGAATTTCCAACACGGAAAACTTACCTTTAACTTATATTATCGTTTGTATTGGAATGGAGTGAAGGGCTGAAGAGAGGTGTCCAGTGTCAATTCCCAATCCACAGTTTATATCCCAGTTCAAATCTCAATTCTCAAATAACAAATCTCAAAGAGCATTAGCATTAAAAGAGATGTTGGCGGAATGGACTCAATACTTTGAAATCAAAATTCTTAAGTTGTCATACCTCTGCCGAGTGTACGCGGTACATTTCTCCCCAGTGTTCTTCCATGACTGAGGTTAATACGTCTAATGCGACGCAAAAATAAATTGTTTAAAAAAGACGGCATGTTGCGAAGTTTCATACAGTATCCGTAAATTTCTTAGATAAGATATACAGCTATTTCAAAAATCGTTGTCGGGGAGAACGGCAATCGGCGATTGTCGAAGGGAGATTGCACGACCGAGAGGGACTATGGTTACACTGTTTTGATAAACAAAATTTCAGCTATTGGATTCACCTTACTTAGTAGTGGAGACTAAATGGAGCCAATGTTTACCACAGACCATCTTACAGTGTAAATCAGAATAGGGTTAAGACCATGTTTTTCCCACGTTAAAAAAAAATAAAATAAAATAAATACATAGGAAAAAGGAAAAATATAGAAGCTAAAAAGTTTAGCCATAGAATCGATAGAAGACAATGTATGCGATATTAAGAGAACACCGATCTGTCGAGTATACTGATTGACATTTCACTTCTAAGCCAAAATTCTAAAGCAAACCATTGGTGCAAGAGGCGATTCAAATGGGTAAATAAAATTCGAGGATTTTATAGTAAAGTCTAAGTACAATTTACAACATCTGTGATCCTCAAGGGTATTTGTTATTCCATGTATATCTCAGATCCAATGAAATACTCAGCAGAACAGCTCAACTTCTTCAGGCTGTTACACATCGTCTTTGATATCATCCCTGAAGGTCTGAGAACGTTTTTTAAGCAAAAATGGGATGCTTTATACGCAACTGCGCATGGTCAGTGGGATGACAAACCTGCCAGTTATAATGTCTTTAAATCAATGGAGACACCAAAGAATAAAAAATACAACAAGGACCTGCTGAAGCAAATGTCAAGTGGAAACAGAGATGAGTGGGATTGTAAATGTTTATTTTATGCTATACTGCGCTCGAATAGCATTGGACCAACGATTGATGCTGTTGTAAAAAGTAGCGTTGATGACCTTCGTGAAACTCGCAATGTGTTTGCGCACCCTAAAGATGACAAGCTGAGTGACGTAGAGTTTAGATTGTCCATCCAAAAGATCAAAGTAGCATTCTCCTCTCTCAAGATTAATGCCACCAAAATCGAAGAAGTAGAAAACCAGGCCGATTTTACAACAAAACAGGTTGTTGAATTAAAAAAGGAACTGCGGAAAGCCAAAAGAGATCTAGAGTTGGAGAAAGAAAAAAGACGAGAACCTCAACCGAACTCTTTTTGTGTACTTCCTCCTCGGCCCTCTCATGATATACTGGAGCGAAAGAATGAAGTGAAAGAGGTATTAGAAGCGATGCAGCAATTATCAAGTAAAAAGGGAAAAGAAATTCCAGTGGTTTACCTGTCTGGCATTCCTGGTTCAGGAAAGAGCGTGATGGCACGAAATATAGGACACGAGTGGTACAACAGTAATGACACCAAAGAGACATTAAAGTTCGTGGTTACGCTTGATGCGTCTAGCTTGGGAAAATTGCTCAATTCGTACACAATATTTGCAAGAAATGTCAACTGTAATGAGGAACATGTAAACGACATAATTACATCAACAGATCTTTCCAAGCATGCTCAAATTCTCAAACTGAAGGCTCTTGTCAGTACACAATTGACGAAGTATTCTTCATGGCTGATTATTGTAGACAATGCGATCGATGTAAAATCGGTGTCCAAATACTGGCCACAAAGCGGAGAAAAGACATTTCCAGTTGGTAAGGGCCAGATTCTTGTCACCACCCAAGACGCTTCCTCTATTGATGAAAGCTCATCCTGTTATCATGTCTCGCTCAAACGTGGTATGCCAGAGAATGATGCAATAAAACTACTATCTGAACTATCAGGTTACGCAGATGAAGAAATTGACATCATGCGCAAAGTAGTCGAAGTATTAGATCTCCAACCACTTGCAATAATTTCTACAGCTGTATATGTGCAAAGAATTCGCACTAAAAATAATCAATACACGTGGAATCATTGTCTGGAGGATCTGAAAAAGGAACGTGAAAGAGTAGAGGAAGATTATAAGGACAAAATTAATTTGACCTACAAAGACACTATGACTGCTGCTGTGAATTTAGCTCTACAAAGAGAAATGAATAACGAGATAATGTTACATGCATTTCATTTCCTATCCGTCCTTGAATCAGATCCGATTCCTTTGCAGTATGTCGTCGGGTACGTGGCTAAGTGCATGCCTGGTACTGAAAATGAAGTAGTGGCTGGTACAATTCGTAAATCCTCGTTAGTGTTATCGCTGAACCAAGAAAAAAATGAGATGATTAGCATCCACCAAGTAGTTTACCATTGTTTGACCAAGATCGCTAAAAGAACCGTGAACACGTTTACTGTGGTTTCAGTATTCTCGGCCCTGCTTCCCGACAAGGACAAAGAATTAATTGTTGATTTGATAGCTATAAAACCATTTGTGAATCACTTTGTGAAGATTGCAAAAGAGATGATCAGTTTCGTACTAGAGTACACTGAAAGCGATAGTATTCAAAATTATTACATTTCTGATGTTCTGTTGGATTATTTGTCATCGGTGCTACTCGAATATTGTATTTCTGATGAAGCGAAACACTTTCTCCAAGTTCGTTTAGCTTTACAGCTACATCCTACGTTGCAAGTAAGAGAAAGTTTAATTGCTTTACGAAATAAGGATGCAAAGACTTTCATCTCAAATATAAGTGATGGAATTCATCTGTATGTCGCCCACGCCTTGTACAAGTTAGGTATTGTGCACCATCACCGAGGGCAATGGCAAGAAGCCATAGCGTGTTACGAAAAAGCCTTTGCCATCAATACAGGTGCTTACACAAAGAATGAGACATTAGAGATTGAAATCTTGAAAAAGCTAGGCAGTGTATATTGCGAAAAAGGGAAATTTATGACGTCAATAACATCTTACGAAAAAGCTCTTGTGCTCACAAAAGCTCAGTACAATGAACACCATCCATTTGTTGGTTGCATTTTGAACGACATAGGCATTGTATATCAAACGTCAGAACAATTACAGAAATCAGTCGACGTTTATAAAAACGCCCTTGTCATCTACAGAGCTGCTATTTACGGAGAACACCATCCATCAATAGGCCAAATCTTGGAAAATTTAGGAACTGTATATCGACAACTAGCACGATTTAAAGAATCAAAAAAAAATCTCGAAAGAGCACTTTCCATCTTTTCAGCTGCATATGGTGAAGACCATCCATCGGTGGCTAATACCATGAGAACTTTAGGTGTTACATATGGTAAAATAGGAAGATCGCAGGAAGCAATAACACATTACAAAAAAGCCCTGGCCATCTATAAAGCTGTTTACGGCGACGAAAACCATCCATCGGTGGCTGATACCTTGAACAATTTAGGTAATGCTTATCAAGATCAAGGACAATTGCACGAATCAATAACACATCACAAAAAAGCCCTGACCATCTATAAAGCTGTTTACGGAGACGAAAACCATCCATCGGTGGCTGATACCTTGAACAATTTAGGTAATGCTTATCAAGATCAAGGACAATTGCA